TCTTAACTTTTCTATCATCATTAATGCAAATAAGAGTGCTTTAAGATAAACGAATTTTTTGTCTCAGGCTTATTATTATTAGGCGAATAATTATTATAAGAGAAATGCTTCTTAACTCTGCTTTTTTTTTAACTTCCAATTGAAGATCAAGTGGAAAGAATAGTTTATGTCCATTTTTCTCAAAAATGATGATTGTATCACCATCTTGGAACGTATAAAGGAAATAGTACTTATTTTCTATAAACAAAATCGTTCACAATTACACCAAGTATTGTTACACAGAATCGTTACAAAGTTTGAACGAAATCGGTCGAATATTTTCTGAGAAATTGAACTTAAAAAGAGTTCTACTTTTAAATTTCAGTTTTTCAGGAAATATTCGGCAAATTTTGCTCAAATTTTGTATTTGGAAAACATAGCATTCTTTAAAACGTCATAAACAAATCGCACACCTTACAATCCAAATATTTTTGATTAATGCTAAGTAAATAATAAAAAATAGCAAATATTTACTCAAATTAATTTGTTGCATGTTGTTTGTTACCTTTGGATAAATGAATTTCAAATTTGTGCACAAACATTTTTTGATTCGTTTAAAGAAGTATTCGAAGCATGCTGAAATAAGCATAAAGTAAAATTAACATTAAGGGTTCAAAACTTTGGACCGCTCTCCAGATCAAACTATTGAGACTATATTTCCCAGAATGCAGGGGTATTCCCTATATTTTGGGAGACAGAAATAATAATTCGTCGAAAAAAGGGCATGTTTATTTAGAGAAAGTGCGTTTTTGTGTCTGATTTCGTAACTTAAATTATCGTCCTGATTCCTTAATTAGTATATTTGAGGTTACCCTCCCGAACCATTAAGATTGAGTCCGAGAACATGAAGATCCGACCATTTCATCAAAAGATATTCAGGGTAGTCCGTTTCTTATTTTGCGTGCTGTGCATGGAAAGAAGTTAAAATCAGCTAATCTTTTTAGACAGTTCAAGTTAGGTTGGTAATTTTATTGCTCTCTAATTAAATATGCATCTGTGTTAAGTTTTAAAAAATAATGAAAACTGTTTTGCTGATAATTTCCATATTTACTACCTTTTCTTTTTTGTATGTGAAGGTTAATAAGAAATAACTTAAGTAAAGTTTTAAAGTATAAAACAATGCATTGATCCTAGCAGGCATCTAAACATATCTGAAAGTTGCTTAAAATTTGTTCATATTGCTGTTGCAACATCTGATGGTAAACAACAATGGTGCAAGATACATTTTCCTGAATGTTTACGGCATAGAAATGGCNATATATATGAAGAGAGATACACAATTATTGTTTTGAAATATGTAAAAAAAATATTGAAATGGTAGGTTTGGGTAAAACGATTCATATTTTATTTCTGATCGATTCTGAAAAAAGATACAGATGAACGTAGACTGTATTCCAGTAAGAAGTATTAGGTGTGTTTTTAGAGAAAAAAAAACTGTTTTGAGCACACCAGACTACTGATCTTGCTAAAAGTTATTTAGGAACTTATTTAGGTAAAGTTATTTATAAAATACTTAAAAACTAAATCGAATTTTTTTTCTAACAGTATCGCTTATTATCGTTTGGCTCATAATAATTTTTAGAACCAAAATTTTGCTGAAAATTATTAAACAATAGTCAGTACCATAAATAGTTATCTTATTTTTATTATATTGTAATTTATGTTTATCTCTAAATAAGCAGTAGGTCTTTAAAATGTTTAGTTAGTTTATATTTACATTGATAAAAAATTGTTTTTTCAAAAATACAAGAATACGGCAAAATTTACCATGTTTCTGTCTCTATGGGAACATCAAAGCAGCTTGGTTTATTTTTTAACGAAGCTCTTTGGTAAAATTAGATTTAGGTAAAATTAGCAATAAAATATGATTTTATAACAACCAGATAAAAGTTGGTAAATGTGGCAAAATTTGGTAAGTTTATCACCATGCCTCAGAGCATGACATACAATTAATTTATTCGGTTAAATTTACTTATTTTTAAGTTTTGTATATTTTACAAAATATACTCATGGACAAAAAAATTAGCGCACCGAGAAGGAGTCGTCAAAATGAAACGAAGTTTTACATACGTAATGACTACTTTGATATAAGTAAATGATTACAAAATCAAAGATTATCGTTTTTCTCTGATTTTCTAATCATTTACTTATATCAAAGTAGTTATTACGTATGTAAAATTTCGTTTCATTTTGACGACTCCTTCTTGGTGCGCTAATTTTTTTGTTCATGAGTGTATATATAATAATAGCTATGACTTTAAAAATCAGAATTTTCGGAAAACCGTTACCATAAGAACAGAAAGTTCACCAAATAAATGGTTTAAATGCCTTATATTTTAGTTACATTTAACAGAGTTAAGTAATTTAATGCCGATACCATAGAGTATGATAATTAAATCAGAATTTTTCCCTTATGTAATTTTTTTAAACAAATGTTAAAAATACTATTTTGTGCATAGCTAAACATTTTCGCACTAATGTTTGATGAGTAACAATCAAATAACGATGTAACAAATAATAATTAAACAGCCTTCATCGGATCAAGTCTAGAAAATCTCAAGTTATTACTCTTATAACATATTTTTCGAACTCTCAACTGTAGTTCTTACGAAATATTTTAAAAAAACTACAATTTTTAAACACGCGAAAAACGCATGTAAGCAATCTTTCGTATTAATTTAGGTAAAAAAAGAAACGTCTTTTCATCACATTTGGACTAAAGTGAGTTGTTTTATTGAAAAAGAAATAAAAAAAACTTTCTCTGAAATCTTTTCTTTTCATCAAAGTTTATATCAACTACATGTCCAGCTTGATTGATTAGTTCAAGAGTTTTCACTTGTAATAAGAAATACGTTTTGTTCATTTTCTCTACGTATATATATAATTTATATATCACGATCACTTGATTAAAAGTGAAAAATGACTCAATCAGTGAATATTTGACAGAGTAAATTCGTTAAAAGATAGTTTTAATAGCGACCACTCTTAATAAAATCACGGAATTACTAAATCAGTTACTTTTTTAAAATCAACTCTGCCAGAAGGAAATTATTTCAATATCAAATCAAAAACCATCTTTTTTTAATAAAATCGTTATCGATTTTCTTTAAAATCAAATTTCTTAAGGTATATGTTAAAAATAATTAAAAAACCTGCTTTTTTTTTTAATTGAACAATTGGAATTTCTATTTTGAAAATGTATAAAAAACAAATTTCATTGGAACCCTTATGAACAAAAGGAGCAAAGTTACAGATGTAAATTTCCCTTTTGAGAGAGAGAGTTAAAAAAATGAAATAAGAGTAGAAGAATCTAAATGAAAAGTGTTTGTGAATTAAGAAAAGTTAAAAAATGCCTATCATTATCAAATGTCAATGAACAATCTGAAATATACTTTACAGCAAAGAAATTCCATTTTTTCCTTTTTTTTCTCTAAAATCTAATTGGTATTATTTAAGTATAATAAATTCAGACAGACATCGCTACACTATCATTTTAATATTATAATGACAAGTTATTCTAGATAAATTTTTTATTTGCAGTTAGGATTTCACTTTCTAAATTTTTTTTAGAGTTTTATCTTTAAAAATCATATTTTTACTTATTTACTTTTTGTACTGAATAATCTTTAATTGAGTACCTAAATATATTGTTTGAACTTTTCACCCATTCAAACTTTTTTACCCACTGCGAGATTTACGAACTGGAAAACTCGATCTTTAGGCTAACAGGATCTCCAGGTCTCTGATAAGAGTATTTTGAAACTAATATTTTAAACTTTTGACACCTACTGAGTTTTTTATCAATTCCAAAATAAAAAGTTTATTCTATTTTGCAATTAAATATAAAGTATTTATTCAATGATGTTTTATATAGGATGTAGTAGGAAGTTTTAGTTTATTGTTATCACATTTCTCTTGAAAGTAGTTTCAGTTTGCTATTTTTTTTCCTTCAAAGGAAGAGACTTAATAACTTTTTAAATTTTTTGAAAAAATAGTTATTTTTTTGAATGTTTATTTTAAATAAAAAAAGTACTGAACTGAAAAAAAACCATTGAAAACATTTAAATATCTTTAAAGAAATTTTTTCTCGTTATTTATTTTTGCGAAATAAAAAACTATCTCCCTTGATTTCACAATACATCTCTATCTGCTAGCTTCATTACTTAACTCCAGTATATTACTTTTATACTGCATTGTTGATTAAATTACCTCGATTTTTCAACTAAAATTTTAGTTTTCCTGTCACAAAAAGATAGTTTTTTCTTTAAGAAAAATAATTTTGGGTTGACAGAATTGTTGAATCTTTTTATAGTTTTAACATAAAGAATTTGCTGAAAGAAATATCACAAGTGCTTCTCTCAGATTACCTGAAAATTTCTTCGACGCAAATTCCCTAACTATTCGTATACTACTTTGATTAGACGTTTTGTGGAACGTTTAACTATTAATATCTATCTTCAGTTTTTTACAAATAATTTTAATTGTTTAAATTTATGAATGTTTGTCTTCTATGTACACATATCCTAAAGCAATTTTTTGCTGGATATTCATGAAATTGAACAAGATATCTTGGATCAGTGTTCCAATTTTGTGGCCAAAACTTTTAATAGTCAACCTTTAGTGTATACATTTTAGCAGTTTTTAGTCTATTTCTGAATAATATCTACAAATAAAGCTATATCACAGTTCATTTTTATATTAGATCTTTGCAAAATCTCTAACGACGTTCGGAAAGTATTCAGTTACCGTCATGACAATTTAGCGTGTGGTAACGTTCTCAGAGAAAGAGTGAGGTGATTTTTTCCCTATACATTCTCAAATTTTTTTTCCATTTGCGTTTAGTAACTATGCAGCTACTAAACTTATAAAAAAATTTCTATGGCAGTGTCATCAACTCGCGGGGGGAAATTAGGGAGAAGGTGCCACTCCTGCCGAATTCGAATAATTAATGGGAATCTTACCTTTTGCATGAGTGAGTCCACATAGGCGGTCAGCAGGACCAAAAAAGTGTTAGTCCCTCGGAAATCGGGAAAAAAACGAAAAAACCGGCAAGCGAAAAAGCCGTCGTCTGACGACAAGGGTGGACCAGAAGCATCTGCAGAGTCCGGTGGTGCCTGCCGCCGAGTGGAAGCTCACTATGCAAAAGACGTTCTCATGCCTTGAATTCAGACGAGATTTCGCTCCTATGCTCCGGGTTCGGCTATTAGCAATTGTAATGAAGCCTTTCCCCGAGCAGCATGACTTAGTAGCTGCTGCCTTTTATTTAGGTTTTTTTCCATCCACCCTATACCTCCACCCTCTTTCTTTCTCCCTATTTCCCTTTTTTTATCCCCCCGTCCCATACATATCGGGTTTGGCCGATGGGTGTAGGGGTATAGGAGTGTGGCTATTAATATTTTATAGAAGTGCGGACCCGTAGAGCTTGCTTCGATGGAATAGAAGAAAAAGTAGAAGAAAAAGGGGGATACGGTGCCCCCGATTTTCGTCTTCTTCCTCTGCTCCTATTCTGTCCCACTTTTCCTCCACTGAAGAAAGCGTACTGAGCAATCCCGTGCAAAGAATACTTGATGAGGTAGGAGGACTCTTTGGTGGTAGTGGGAAAGGATGCGCAGGAAAAAGGGATGTGGAAGAAAAAGATGCTGAAGAAGAAATCCCTAAGAATCTCGGCGTAGATCTCGGGATGAAGGGAAATGGGGAAAAATCAAACCTTATGAGATCTTTTAATGATCTTTAAAAAAAAACGTTGTATCTGGTGACAGAAATATTTTTTAAACGTTAAAATAAAAGACTGAATGATTGTTATCAGTCATAATTTGTTATGTAAAACTGTAAAAATAACTAGCTTTAATACATTATAATATATATATATATATATATATATATATATATATATGTAGAGAGAGAGAGAGAAAGAAAAATAAAACAGATATTTATGTAATTGGAATTAAATAATTACAAAATTTACTTTATATAAAATCTGATACAGTCACTTTTAAAATAATAAAAACCCAAATAAATTTCAATAAAAGAAGTACAAATAAAAAACAAAGGCTAATGAACATAATAATACTGAAACAAATACCAATAGTTTCGAAGAATTATAAGTACAAAAATATGTTTTAAATAAAACTGATTAAAAAATAAATTAATTAAAAATCTGTAATACTGAGGCCATTTTTTTTTAGTTTTTCAAGGGATTGTATGAACCCTGACAACAAGTACAAACAAACAATTTAAAGATTATTTATAAAAAAATATCGATTTCAATTCGTAAATTATTTTTATGAGAGTGTGAAAAATGAAAAAAAAAAAAGCTTTTTGTTATGTGAAACTACTTGCTAGGCTAACTTTTGCATGATTTTTAGAAGTGGTAGCTTAAACAAGAAAAGTTAAAAGAAGTTTCTTGCAATTTTACTTTACCTTCTTCACAGTAAAATACTCTTTAAAGTTTTAAATTGTATTTTTTCTAATTTTCTTAAAGCTATTAAAAGAAAATTGCACGTCTTTTATACCTCGTATTACATCACTTATATTAAAGCTACACTGTAAACAATTCAAGATCAATTTATCGTAAAATCACCGAAACATTCTAATTAAATAAATATTACTGTAAAAATTACTGCATTTTATGGTAAAAATGAGTTTTGCGAATTATGCACTCAAAATGCCAGAAGTAATTTTTACTGTAATTTGATCCAGAATGTTTCAGTGTATCTTCAATGTAAGAGCTGTTATGCGATGTATAAATAGACGCTATTTTATTTTAATAGCTTTAACGGAATAAGAAAAAAATAGTTTAAAACTTTAGTGAATAACTTACTGTGAACAAAGATAGGTTAGATATTTTTTTTAATTTTTGATAATTTTTAGATAATTTTTGATAATTTTTATTATACGATTATGATATGTAAGAGATATAAAATCTTGCTTAAAAATACTGTATACACTTTAAAAGATTCCAGATCAAATTACGATATAAAGTACCAGTACTACATCCGTAAAATCCATTTTACCGTTAAATCTATGTTAAGAAATCTAATCCATTAAAAAAAATCTGATATACCGTAAAAGCGATTGCGGTATATAAAAAATTTTTTCTGTAACATGTTTCGGTAAAAATGGATTTTACGGTTGAAAAGTATCAACACACTACCGACAGTACCGTTCCGTCACTTTTCACCGTAATTTGATCTGAAATTTTTTTGCCTTGTGAAAACAGTGCTATGCACTAAAATACATTTAATAACAATGTTTTGGTAGAAATAGTAGCTAATTAAAGTTTCTAGAACATTTGATAAATTCATTTATTTATATTTTAGCGAAGAAAATGATATCATACATCCGATCAATGGCGCAAAAACAAGCGAATTTACGTTTACATAAGATCCGAAAAACGATATATCTTGCTTCAAAAAATTTGAACAAACATCTCAAAAATGAAGATCATTCAAATGCATTCAAATTTGAAATATTTCGAACTTTTATTAAATTTATCTTTCTGTCTGGATATTTTTTTTTCTCCTCTGTTTGAATGAATTTGATTTTCAGAAAATAAACTTTCGAATTTTTCACCCATCTTTTCGCAAGCGCCTTCCTTTTTTTACAAATTATTTTTTCTCTTTCATTTCAAAATAGGAGGGAAAAATCTGTGTAAGAAATCCCTACGGAGATCCCTACGAGCTCATCTTCGGAATGAAGATCGTGCCGTGAATGAAATGCGGACAGTGGGCAGAATCCATCTCATTCAGCTTTCAGCTCGTATTTCTCTTCCTTGTTCACAACATAAGATGCCCAGTGGTAACAAATTACGAGAGATGAGCCCCAGACATCGTAGGCTGAAGAAAAGCGAAAAAGGAAAGAGATTTATTGGCGATCGAAAAAGTCCTATTTGTTAATATTATACCATTTACTTTTAATATTGTTGGCGGAATGAAAAATTGAGTTATTTTTGGCAGTATCTTAAACATTACAAATCTTGAACATTTTATATATTTCATTAGTTTACAGCTAATAGAAAAGTTTTATTATTTTGATTCACTTTTACAAATAGAGAGAAATCCGTAAATACTGCTCTTTATGCATAATTATAGAATGCTTAACAAAATTGTATGTACAGTAAAAATCACTAATTAATAATAAAGCGAGAAAGAAACATTCCGGAAATTTGACAGATCATAATTAAGAAAGGGGGAGGGGGTGAAGAAAAGCGAAAAGAAAAGAGATTCATTGGTGATCGAAAAATTCCTATTTGTTAATATTATACCAATTATTTTTCATATTGTTGGCGAAATGAAAAATCGAGTTATTGTTGGCAGTGTCTTAAACATCACAATTCTTGAACAGTTTATATATTTAAACATTCTAAAGCTTTAAAAAAATTTATAATTTGATTCACTTCCACAAATAGAGTATTCCGTAAATACTACCCTTTATACATAATTCTAGAATGCTTACCAAAATTGTATGCTCATTGAAAGTCACGAATTAATAATAAAGCAAGGCAGAAAAAACATTGCCGAAGTTTAGCCAATCACAATTAAGGAAGGCAGGAGCAAAGAACATTAAGATGTATTTAATTGAAGTGTTTTAATAATCTTTTATCTACTCATCCCTGTCCTCTTTCTCAATCAGACAGGATTTATGTAACCACGTTCCTCGATTGTAATTAGTCAAATTCCAATTGTCAAATTCGTGAATAATATCTATCTATCTATCTATCTATCTATCTATCTATCTATCTATCTATCTATCTATCTNATCTTTGCATCAACAATAAAAAATGCGCTTTTTTTTTCCTTTTTCACAGAGAGAAGCCTTTTACAAATTTATATATATATATATCTAACAAAACAAAACATGAAACTACACTGCAGAGGTAATCACAAAATTCATGAGTGTATTATTTTAAATTTTTCAAAGCCATTAAACTAGTATGCCTGGATGAAGAAAAAAAACAAAACAACTTTTTTTTAAAAATATTTCTAAGGGCCATAGCATGTTTTATAATACAACAATAAAACAGTCAACTATAATACTGTCTGTTCATTATAACAATATGGATTTTGCAATTTATAGCACGGTAAAATTTTCACAAAGGTTTAAAGATATAAAATATTTGTAGCAACAGCATACTTATGTACACGTAGAAAAATAATCAACTACAAACTCAATCCTGTATCAAATAAAATAATTAAATCTTTAAACATCTGAACAAAGCAAAGATATATATATATATATGTATGTATAATCACATTCTATCTTAAATATGTTTTTAATTACCATTTTTTACCAGACAGATGGTGTGAATGCTAGATTTTTTCCGTCTTTTTTTTTTGGATTTGATAATTATTTATTCCCAAGATATCATGATGTAAAGCGTTTTTATATTCTTCGTTAATGCGTTTCATATTTGTTTATAATTGGGACCAGATATTTTTACTGCATACTCTGAGTCATCTGAGAATAAAGATATCAAATGTTTACAGTTAAGCTTCATGTTACAGTAAATCAGCCACTTATGTTAAAAACAGATAGACATTTTCCGCTCAAACACGTGTTTAAAACAAGGGATAGAAGTTACACAAAATTCAAAGTTTTTCAAATTTCGTTGAATTGTCAGATTTTATTTAAAATAATCAAGGATTTTTGGAGACTGAAAATACTAATCTTAAAAACTTTAAGCTTATGTAAGCGAGCCAAGTATGTTAAAAACAGATATAGATTTTTAGCACAAACACATGTTTAAAACAAGTGACAAAAGTTACACAAAGTTTGAAAGTTTCTCAAATTTTCTTGCATGTTTACATTTCATTTAAAATAATCAAAGAGATATGGTAATTTACATCAATTAATTTACATTTTTCAAGGATAATTAATTTACATTTTACAGGGAAAAAATAGAAAGGAAGAAAGTACTTGCAGTAAATGTGCAATTAACAATCAAATTTCAGTGTTATTAAGGCGGCAGATCGTTTTCAGATTATCCTTTCGGAGGTTTAGGCTTTTTCATGCTTTTGGGAGTTGGCAACTTTTTCAAACTATCACCAAACAATATAAGATGCTTCAACTTTGACTGTCCACACTAATGTATACAACGAAATCCTCAAATAATGTCTAAAAAGGGGAGATAAATATTAATAATACCCCTTTTTTTCTC